CATCTACATCTAAACATCTTATAGTTATGAGTAAGTATAGCATGTAGGACAGAAGCGGTCAGTATTTTTGACCTAGTTATATAAAAAAACTGGTTTTCGAAAAATCCCTTAATATGCGTACATTTCAGTTCGTTTCGGAAGTTGGTCCCACTGGAAGTCGAAGAGGGGATGCCTTGGAGCTGTGACTGTAGATTTTGTGAATAAGTCTCCGGTTCGCCACTCTGTGACCCAGCACCAGACATCCAGAGATTTTGTCAACCTGAAGGTTGAATTAAGGTCAAACGGCTGCAGCACAACGGATATAAGTTGCCATTTTCTGGTAAGATCGATCTACGACAACACGCACTTTAATACGAAATGAAATTCTCCACAACAAAGCACAAGATTCATCAATACCTGTTTCTCCTTTGTATATAAAAGTAAGAGAATCTTAATTACCTCTCCATGTATATAAAATAATATTTTCAGCTCAGATTTCAACAAGTTTAAAGAATAAATCGTTAGATCGCTGCGGATATGGGCAAAAGTAAAAAATTGAGCATAAAAAACAGACTATATGTAAAAAGGCTGATACAAGCCAACCAGGCACCTGGTCTGCGCCGGAAACCACGTTTCGGGACCGTGCCCGATCCGAATCCAGCAACAGCCATTGGTCCCAGACTTAGACTGGCACGACCTATTGACAGTCCACCTGACAGTCGGCCGCCAGTTTGGCGGCTCAAATTAGACCCACCAGTGCCGTTTCCGACTTGGTCGCTTAATGCAGCTGGAAAGGCCTGAACCTCGTCAGTCAGCTCTGCAGAAGGTAGAGGCACGGATATCGGAGGATTATGGGTTCGAGTGCGACGAAAGAAGCCCTCACGCCGCCGGCTGAGTGCCTGCAGAGTACTCGACATGCTTAATGTGCCAACAGCAGAGTTCAGGCCGAGTCCGCTGGGGCCTGTGACAGAGGTGATGCCGTTGCCAAGGTGTGTAACAGAGGCAGGAGCGGCCTGATCGGCAGAGCCCACTGAGGTGACTGGATCAGTCGAAGAAAGGTCAATCAAGCTGTTGCTCAGGTCAATGCTGCCGAGTTCACCGAGGTCAGATAGTCCGTGAGAATCGGAGATAACAGCTGAAAAATAGAATCATGAGTATTCATGTGAAAAAAGATAAAGCCAAGTTTTGAATGAATACTGTATGGATCCCGAATCAGGTGTCAAACTAAGCCAGCCTAGAGTTAAACTTAGATAAGGCATAAGGGAACTTTGGAAATAATAAGGAGCACCGGGGTTAAATTAGATTTAACCATTGAGAATAAAAATCTGTAGTGGGAGTGACAAGATTGTTTATACAAGGTAGAATACTTCAGGAATCAGAATTCCAGAATGTCAAATAAGATACAATTATTTACGGGGGCCTAAGTAGAAGAGGAAAACGAATAAGTTATTGCAGCGATATTTCGAAGCCTGTTCAAATCAAGAGAGAAACGATAGCAGCATCATATATAAAGAGCAAAGACGTGTGGCAGGGCTGGAAAATATATGCGGCAAAGCCAGATCATGAAAATTATACCGAAACAAAAAAGAAATGGGGAATTAAAGAGAAAGTGAGATGCTGAAGATAGGATTCAGAAGCAGATGAGGGCGTCGGGATAAAGGTAAATGAAAGATTGATATCGTGTAACCATAGATTCAGTCATAGTCTCACTTAGCTATATGGTGTCTGCTTGACCTCGTTTTGGCAACTTCGTCTTGGTAACAGAAGCTTTGTGGAACGTACCCAATCCTGCCTCTTCTGCCATATAAGTTACTGATAATTCAAAGTATCGGACAGTTAAGTTGCTAAAGGCTCAAACATTTCAACGATAGGAAGCACTCTTAACACTGAGTTAAAACTTATCACTTTGGTAAGCCGCGAGACATCCTGGAATGTACTAAGTAAACTGTCTAGACTGGACGAGAAGCTATTCTGGAATGCATCAACTTGAGGAAGTATACGAAAAAAGTCGTTGTCAGACTAATAAACATTGCCAAAAACCTCAGACAGCCTATCAATATAAGACTGTTCGACGGCTTTTATAAGACCGAATCAAGCAGCAACCATCAGCAAGTAATCTCACCTCAAGCTCGGCCTGGCTTCCCTGCCAACCGATCAAGCATAGAACTGGTTCACATCTTAAGACAGTCCCAGAAAAATTCGATGGATTACAAGCTCTCCGACTATAAAAATTTCATGGCCAATAAAAAGCCATCAACTGCGCTAAATTATTTTAAGATCCTTTTCTTTTGTTAGGCAGATCAAAAGACTACATATACAAAGAAAAAGAGGATTCCGATTAGTCTCTTTAGATAGCCTAGTTGTGGAGATATTAATTTCCTGGATTGGTGTTAACTCGAGACATTTACAAGTGTTAATCCCAGATATAAGGAACGAAAGCTAAGCTCGTCTTCGCCCGAAACAAAAGAGGATGTCTCGTATACTGCGTCAATCAAACGACTGCAGTACGAAAATAATAAGTTGTCGTCCTCTGGTGAGATCGACCCACAAATCTCTTCGCCATGCACTTTCACACGAAATACAAGTCTCAGCAACAAAATCCAAGGACTGCATTGAGGCTTACAGAAATCCGTCTTATATCGGCAACATGATTGATTATAGAGGAGATGTCCCGCGAGAAAATACTTAACAAATAATTTCCACAGGAGAAGCGTTTATAAGATTGCCCCACCGGGACTGGCCCCAAATTGGCTTGAATCTGCGAGCAAAAGCCTGCTAATACAAGAAGTATCTTGCTCATTATTCTTCTTGTTATTGGACCTTGATAACGAGATTGTTGCTGGAAAATTCTCTAGAATTTATGTTGAAACAGTCTCAAGAGAATACTGACCAAAGAAGGCTCCACCAGCAAGATTAATCCAGATGCAATATTGACTGCATACAAGAAATAATCGGAGAATAAGGGATCCAACAGATCGGTCACTTCATCTGAAGTGACCTCTGCAGGCTGATTCAAACCGTCCTCTTGGTGAGCCACGGCTTAAGTGGAAGCAAAGATGAAACTATCCGGACATAGCGGTACTTGGAGGAATGATCAAACGCGAATGTGGTAACCTCGTCAGTCGACCTGCAACCCAGCAATAACGAGTGCCCTGAACCAAATGGTCTGCACGCCACAAATCTGCATCCTCCGGAGAATTTTCTCTCCAAGTCACAAGGAAAAGTGTTGCGGAGATCAGCCACCCCATCAGTTGTGACAAATAGTTCAAATATGCGGCAGGACTTTCTCCTAAGCCCTGGTCAGATTCTCACCAGAAAAGAGGAGAATAGACAACATAGCATCGAGTTACAAGCAGGAGGGTCGACAGAATTGTTCGAAATTCAGGGCACGCTCCAGTAACTTAGTGGGTCTACTGTGAAATCAAAATGGATTCTTGATTCAATATCATTTAATAGGTTTAGTAGGCTACCACAATACGATAATCATTGTCATCATGGATGTTAAATAAACCTCACAGTCAACTCTATAGCACCAAAATTGGAGTAATCTTGCTTATATCAAATAGCATTTGGGAATTATCTAATCTTCGAACTAAAAGCTCATTCTTCCCAGTCTTACATAAATGTCAAAGCAAAATGTGGTATTTTCCAAGCACTCAATAAAACATAAATTGAAAGATTCAGCACAAGATAAATAATTTTAAGTAAATTATTCCAAATAAAGCGAGCTGTTAAAAAACCGTCCTTGGAAAAATACTCTAAGCCTTTCCGGTCTGCCTGTCAATTTCTTAGAGTTACTTCATCAACAATTATATTGGCTGGGCGGCAGATTGACCATTATTTCATGTAGCACAAACCTAGACATCATCTTCAATCCGAAATCCGGCACCTTTGGCATATTGCAACTCAATTGAGACAGGGCTCTATATGGTGCTGTGGAAACATTATTTGAAAATATCGAGATATGGTGATCACCCAAAGCTGTTGAGAAACTGACTATTCGATAAATTCTAAATGTGGAAAGATTTTAAAACCTTCAGGATTGTGCTACAAAGTGTATGAGTAAAACGTCAATTTTTACTTTCAGCATGATTAAATAGTCTTCACAATAATAAAGCGTGGAGTTAGGAGGTAAAATTGAACAAAAACATATATAAAATACGGATATACCTTAATCATACTGGTAACCGGTCTAAAACATATACAGCATAGAATTAAACCGGATGATGAAGACCCGAGCAGCAAAGGAATGACAAGATAAGTTGAGCCAAAACACACGACAGTCCAAAATAAGGCAAATTATGCTATATAAGCCATCAGCTCAATTGGCTGGTTGAGAAAGAGAGCGAAAAATGGCAATACCATAAGAATAGGAACCCGAGTCAGCAAAAGGAGAGGCACTTTTGCAGGTACTGCTGACTACTAAAAAAAGGCGAAAACAGAGATTCGAGCTACAATCACACAATTCGACAAGCTGGTGAGGTCTTGAAGAATAGTGGGCATTGGCTTGCGGGGGATGCATACAGGAATTCA